TATGTTACATATTATACGTATGTAGAGAAAGGACAATATGCTTAAACTAGGACGGTGATCTCCTGCGAACTGTGTCGGATGTAGGGAACATGAAGTTGACAAGTAGCAAAGTACATTATAGAAGTATACACTTTAAACATTAAAACTATAGTATACTAAGTCATATTATAATAAATATTGCTCCTTATTTATATATATATATATATATATATATATATATATATATATATATATATAAACCCCTATTTCTCCTCGTCACGCTATAAATTGAGACCGGCTTTACCGATTACATTCTTTTTTTTTTTTAATATTTAAAAAAAAAATTTAAGAAAATTGCGCAGAAACTTAATCCCGACAATAGTCCCTTAAGGAGGTGAAAATGAGGATGAGAGTTTGTATTGGAAAGCAAATTAATAAATTTAAATAATTATATAAATTTAGAGCAATTAATAAATGTAGATAGCGGTACATTCTCCGATTTAATGAAACGTAGTAGAGTTAGCACCTTTGTTTAAAAGCGGTGATAGATTTGAACCTGGAAATTATAGGTCCATTTCAATATTACCTGCATTAAGCTACATATTTAAAAAATATTTTCAAATCAATAAAGTATATAGTTGCTTTTATAATAACAATTTTATGCACAGTGGACACTAGGGCTTCACCAAAGGTAAATCTACAACTGATGCGGGTGCTGCGCCTCTTAGGCACACTTACGATGCAGGGGAGAAGTTGCAGGATTCTATTGGTATATTCTGCGATTTGTCTAAAGTTTTTGATTGTGTAGATCATCAAACACTTTTTGCTTAAACTGAATCACTATTGCATTTAGGGTTCTGCGCTTGATTTTGTTGCTTCTTACTTCAATCAGAGTATTCAGAATAATATAAATAATATATAATTCAGTTACATAGAAGAAAGAATAGCGATTAGTTATCCTAGTACGCCTATATCACAAAACTAATAATTGAATTTAGATGACACAATATGCCATCTAAGAAATATAAATTTTGATCCATTTCTTCTTGTATGTGTGCTCTATTAAATATTTAGGTTGTATTTACACCTTTCACTCTAAAATAACATTGAGACCACTATCCATGATAAAAAACGCCTGTCACACCTTCGTTCAAAATGGTTATTATGTTCAATATTATAAATCACACTACGGTTAGGTATAAATGCGATTTGTATGTGCGTGTATACGCTTCACGTTGAAACGGACAGGATTGAAAGTATATTTATACATATAGGCTACTGTTAGTTATAAAACTTGCCAAAAAGTGGCTCTTATCGTTTGACAAAAGATGAATATATACATATTATATACCAGCAGTTCCGCGGTTTCGCTGGTATTCAATTTTCCGATCGCTACCAAACTTACACAGGTTCACCTGCTGAACTAATCTGAAGATTACCTGAAAATTTTATCAAAATCGCTCCAGCCGCTTTGGAGTCCATGGAGAACATACATACACACATCGATTTTATATTATACTAGCATTGCCTGCGGCTCCACCCGCGTTTAGATGACCAATAACCAAATTCTTAGGTTTTACATATTAGTATAATCTTACATTGCAGTTTTTGTATTTTTAATAATTAATAATAATTTTATAATATTGTAAAAGCTGTGTAATTACAATGTTACTGAAAATGCTTAGTGAAAATTCACGGTTTTTAAAATTTACCTGCGATAAAGTACAAGAAAGTCGGGTTTTCCTATGAAATCGAATTAGGTACCAGGGATGCAACTACTTTATTTAAAAATTTCTTGTATGTGTATAATTATGGAAAATTCATTCATATGGAATCTCCTTTGTCTTATGAAAAAGGGCTGATTCACCTAATTGTAGTGGTAGAAATAGGGTTGACATGGGCCCCCCCAACGTGCGTTCACCTTGTCGTGGTGGGGGGGCTCAGTAGTGTACTCACGAAGCCAAGAAACGTACAGGGAGGTGGCCCGCTTCGGTGGGCGGTGGGAGGCGGCCTTCTTCGGAGGGTGGTATACCATGCGGGTTGCTCCTGGTACTTCTCTGATAGCAGAGTGGACCGTGGAGCAACCCCATGGTTGTTGTGGTCTGCTTCGGCAGACCTGCCGTCGGGGCGTCGTAGTTGAATGCGTAAGCGATCCTGCGACGCCCCATTAAGACGGGGGAAGGTTTTGTTGGGTTTTAGTGGGTAGTACTGGCTTCGCCGGTGAGTCCCACACTTCGTGCGTAAATGCATTTCCCAACGTTAAAAAAAAAAAAAAAAAAAAAAAAAAAAAAAAAAAAAAAAAAAAGGGTTGACATGGGCGGTGGCAGAATTATTTCCAGGGCGGTGCATCTGTTTCTTCACATTAAACTACTAACTAATCTTTAAATTATTAACTTTATAAATATATTTACAAATGTAATATTTTTCGCAGATGTATAAATAAACAGGGATTTTACTCTATCATTTTATTTCTTTAATTTTTTCTATATATTTTACTTTTTGACAAGGACCCCTTTGTAAACATACCCCAACGTGCCAGGGTTGATGATATATCATGTTTTATTGGAATGCATTAAATATGGAGGTTTGAGGAGGACATCGATGAATAGGTTTAATTTACGTAGATTGAATGTCGAAGTAATAAAAAGTGCCTTATCAAACTCCACTTCTGCAGAGCCTAAAGCAATATATTGCATGGTGTCAATTTATCAATGATTTTAATTTTATAGCAAATAATATTATTTCATTTGGAAAACAGCTTTAGATACGATGGATTTCGCATTTCAAATAAGAATAAAAATCCCTAATAAAGTAATATAAAAAACTCATGAATGAACTTCTCATTCGCTCTTAACACTTCATTCATTCACACTTCTCATTTATGGAACAACTTGAAATAAAGAGAAAATACTCTATTTAGATTAGTTTCTTTGTATATATGACGATATCTTCGCCAATTGTCAACCAAACAAGATTCTTTTTCAAGGAATATTCAGTTCCTCATAAATTAAAAAATCATCAAAATATCCATCCATAAGCCATAAAGAATTGTTAATAAAAAAGAAGGCGGTATATATTAACTTTGATGTGTTGTTATAATATGTTCTATACAGTTATTACTTTTAAAATTCCGTAAAGGAAAGGGTCGAGTCAATACCCAAACACAGCGTGCACGTGTACAACTCTACAGTGCAGATGTACGTGTTTTAATTCTGAAAGAAATATCTCTTAGTTCGTAGCTTGAATGAAGTTTCTACAAATACTGGTTATCATGCCACATATCTCCAAAAAAAAAAGAGAGTTAATGATTGAAGGGGATAAAAACATTTAACAACTCAGATTTTCAACCATACTAATATTTTAAATATGTAAATATTTGTCAGTGATACTTTCTTCGCGGATATTTGACATTTTAAATAAAACCATTTTTTCGCATTTTTTCATGGGAGTCTCTGGCAATGATTGCTGTAAAGCATTCGACACGTCAGGAACCAAAAATCTAAATAAATCCGGGAAAAATCGAAGAGATAGTTTTATTTAAAATATTTATCCAGGACGTTTCTCCTATTTTGAAGGCAAATCAGCACCGAGTAGGGAAAAAGGCTGAATTAATATTTATCATCATTGCATTAATACAAAGTGGACTTTATTTTTTGGAAGCCGATTAAAAAATAAAGTCCACTTTTATAACATAGTTACTCGTAGATTCCGCACTTCGATGAGACGCGTTGGAACTATCGCCTAACAATGAATTGCGAATTCGACTGTGGTTTTAATTTATTCCGAAAGCTATTATCTGTTTTTAACGAAATACGAGAAACTGAGATATCTATCTTTTTGGTATCGTAGTTTTAAATTTTTGTATTATAGTATGTATAAATTCTGATGTTATAGCAGTATGTTATTACAAAATGTTTAAAGATATTTTTGTATAACTTATTATATTATACAACTATGTTTATTATTCGTCCCTCAACCCCTTCCTCTACAGTTTGCTATTTCCTACATCAAAAGATTGCCTGAAATCGCTGTTATAGCGTTAAGACCGACTTTTTTATATTATTCAACTTTTTTGTATATTACCTTTGATCTGCCCAATGAACATTTTTATTAGTATTACTAGAGACTCACCCTCGCTTCGCTCGTATATATACATATACATGTGTACAATGTACATACTACATACATAAGTATAGAAAAGTAGGCAAATATTATAAAATAAAAACTTAAAAAAAAACCAACTTCCAGGCACTAAAATGTAAAAAATAACAAAATCGGGGTTTTCATTTAGTATAGATACCTAATCAGCTATTTTCGATTATATTCTATTATTATTCGATATTAATCTATACAAAAATCTTTTCTGAGAAAACAAAAACTTTTTTGCCGAAAAGCGCCGAGTAAAACCTCGATTTTATGAAATATTTAGACACCCTACTACGTACTAAGTAAGCGGATTTCCTTCACAATTGAATGGGTTTTAATTTTTTTGCGCGAACCCCTAAATCTTTTTCTAAAATAAAGTAGCCTAAGTTGTATGTATGTATGTATATATGTATGTATTTATGTATGTCTGTATTTAGGATATGCAATTGTATGTAGTAAGTACACCGCCTACCATTTCATATAATTTCTCCTACGCCCTAAGGTTGCCTGGAAGAGATCGCTTATAGCGATAAGGCCGCCTGCTGTGCATCATCTATTGTATATATCTACTTTTTGTTTATTTCTTTGTGGTGTACAATAAAGCATCCATCTATCTATCTATTTAAGTTGCTCCTTATAACATATATATCAGCTATCTGCCGATGAAAGCGCCGTCAAAATCGGTCCACTCGTTTCGGGGATTAGCCGGAACAAGCTGACAGACAGACGGATAGGTAGACAAAAATTAAAAAAAAAAAAATTTTTTTATACCCAAGTACCGTATATACTTTTATATGTATCTAGTAAAAGCTGTTATTTCGAAATTACAAACAAACACTTTAATTTTATTTATTTTTATAGATAGATTTACTTACATGTGATATCAGTGGTAGATTCCATGCAGCAGCCAGTTTTGCTTCCGTATGGCAGGTGCCGTCGGGGCCGAAGAAAGCAACTACTCCAAGATCGCGCATTTGAGTCATCACCCTGATAAAAATAATATTTATGAATTAATTTGATGTATATATGCATTTCACTGACCTATTTAAAAAGTAGTTTCATAATCAATTTCTGCATCAGCAAACATCAAAAATCACAAATTATAATTTTTTTGAGAACGGTTTTCCCTTAGGTTCTATTTACGAATCAGATAGATAGTAACATTTCCTTTGTTAGACTTACAATTTGAATTTTGACGAATACTCGTTGAGTGTTGTTTTTTTAATATTGCGTTTAATTTAAAAAATTTTGCTCTGCGATTCTTGAATAAACAATTCATTATAATTATATATATTCATAATAATAATATATGTACATATATAAATTACTTTCCCTTGGAAATCTTTTCCTTTTGTAAGTGATTTCAAAATATCTTATTCCTTCTAATCTAAGTCAAAGGTTTTTATTATCAAAATACATTCAACACATCATTTTTATGACTATTATTAAAAGCCACGTTCCATTTTTTTCCTATTTATGTCTTTTTTCTTGCTAGATACATCCATCCAAACTAATACTAATATTATAAATGTGAAAGTTTGTGGGGATGGATGTTTGTCACTCTTTCAAGCCAGAACGGCTGCACCAATCTGGATGAAATTTAGTAGAGCAATAGATTATGGTCTGGAATAACACAAAATTTTATCCTGGAAAATGTACGGTTCCCACGATAGATTTGTTGTCAAGGGACGAACCCGAAGCGAATCCTAAGACAGTTTCCAAAAAAATTCAAGAGAGGCATCGAAATTACCAGAAATGTCAAGATTCAAGAACAGTTTATCGTAAATTACAGTGTGTAAGAGTGAGAGAGGAACAAAACATTCGAAATTACTAGAAAGGTTTCGAATTTTCGAATACTAGAATGCTCTAAGTGAAGATTGTGAAGAAGTACGAGAAAGTGAAAAAGCGAAGAAAAGTGGAGGGAAGTGATAGTGAAAGTGTATTTAGTGGTAAAATTAGTGATCAGTAACTGAGTTTAACCAGAACTGTATATATACTGCGCGTGTTAGTGATTCTCCATAAGTCACTCTTGTTAACCAAGAGCAATAAAACAACAATAGTGCAAAAGATGTGCTTTAATTTCCGATCCCCGAACTCATAGAACGTAACACTACACTACCGCTAAGAGTAAAACTTGTATGTATGTATTCAGCCCTTTTTAACGTTCCCCCCCAACGTGCGTTCACCTTGTCGTGGTGGGGGGGCTCAGTAGTGTACTCGCGAAGCCAAGAAACGCACAGGGAGGTGGCCCGCTTCGGTGGGCGGTGGGAGGCGGCCTTCTTCGGAGGGTGGTGTACCATGCGGGTTGCTCCTGGTACTTCTCTGATAGCAGAGTGGACCGTGGAGCAACCCCATGGTTGTTGTGGTCTGCTTCGGCAGACCTGCCGTCGGGGTGTCGTAGTTGAATGCGTAAGCGATCCTGCGACGCCCCATTAAGACGGGGGAAGGTTTTGTTGGGTTTTAGTGGGTAGTACTGGCTTTGCCGGTGAGTCCCACACTTCGTGCGTAAATGCATTTCCCAACGTTAAAAAAAAAAAAAAAAAAAAAAGCCCTTTTTAACGTTCCACTGCTGGGCACGGGCCTTCCTTTAGTTCGAGGGGAATCAGGCCATAGTCCACCACGCTGGCCAAGTGCGGGTTGGCGGACTTCACATGTCTTTCGAAAACTTGCTAGGTTTTCTCAGACATGCAGATTTCCTCATGATCTTTTACTTCACCGTAAGGCAAGTGGTAATAGAGTTAGCAATGATTCGCACATGAAAATATCAGAAGTGCGAGACCCGAGATTTGAACCCACTTCACTCAGTTTCCCAAGCGAGCGCGTTACCACTGGGCTACCACTGCCTTTAGAGTGAGAGTAAAACTTAATATTACTTAATACTTTCAATTTAATTTTAAAAAGTAATCTAAAATGAGAATTTTATTCTAGAATTTTAAATGAGTATTTTAATTCTAGAGCTTTATTAACACAAATATTTTAAGTGTTGAATGCGTAAGAATAACGAATGAATAACATTTCTATAATATTAATTAAATTTTATCCTCAATTATTCAACAAAATTTTGAATTGATTCAAAGTTATTCGTAAGGAATATTTTTAAGAAAATTATCGACATTTATCAAAGAGAAAATTTGTATGTTGTATGTGTGTACTTATGTTTGCTATTCACACTGAAAACTGGACGGATTTTAATGAAATTTAGTACATAGATGGAATATGAATTAGACTTCTTTTTTTTGCAGTACAAAAGACGTGTGAATGTTCGTTTAAAATAAGTAAAGTAAATGGTTAATAAAGTACCTCAAAGAAAGACTGTCCTTGTCCATTGGTAGGGATGGTCTTAGTCTGCCGATGTCCGCAGTGACGAAGCGTAGTTTCAGTCCGGGTAACAAAGTTGGGTCCCGGTTTACCGCCGCTACCGCTAAAGGCAGCGCTCCGAGCACCGTCTGTAACAAATCAAACTTTTATTGCAACTAGCTCTGTACTATTTATTCTGCAATAGTTTTATTTATTTATTTATTTATTAGACCACCAACAAAGTACAAACTAAACACATTATAACATATATGGAAAATAAAACATATAGAGTAGTACCTTAATTGGACCCAGTTATGAAAAAACAGCCATGTGCGTAAAAGTATCAACAGAGTTATAAGCATTTTCTGTCGATAGTTGCACTTAGGTTATGTTTTGTTTTTCTGGTTATTTTAAAATTGAACAATATTTATATAAGTATTGTTTATTTTTTATAATTATTTTATTTTTTATAATAAAATGCTTATAACTCTGTTGGTACTTTTACGCACATGGCTGTTTTTTGCATAACTGGGTCCAATTATAGGTGATAACGACATTTAAAAAATAGTACATGTAAAGGCAAAACAAATTTAGAATATCAAAAAATAGCATAAAGATTCACAATGTTACAGCTTACAAATAAAAATTAGTTTATAAAAATAATAACAGCTAAATATATTTATAAAGATCTAATTTGAAATATATATACTCACATATACATACACATAAATGTACACATCTACATAAGCGATTATTTAATATAATATGACGCTATGAGTGCAACAATCTTATTGTGAAAAAAAATATTTTGTATCGATAGGTCATCTACTGGTGGAGCAAGTGGACTGTAATTTTGGGGGATGCGGGAAGGCGGAGAAGGGACCCCTGCCGGTGATGGACACACCACATGCAAAAAAGCAAAAGTTCAGGGACTCACCTTCTGCTGCAACTCCTATCTCCGCTTCCATGTAAATTAGCACAGGGCCCTTAAAGTTCGTATAGTACACAGTAAAAAAGTTCATAAAGCGTATAGGGCGCGGTCAACCTGCGCGCGCGCGGTGCGGGATGATAGTTAATTACGCGGAAGCCGTGTTAATTGTCACACGGTGTAACGACGACTGGGGTGAGTGCATCAGCGCACTCACGCGGCTTATCCCATCACAATTGCCTATTTGCAAAATAGCGCAACCATCCCCCCGGCCTTTAGGGTTTCCCTAAACAAGAAAAGGGACGGGAAAGGAATATAATGAGAATTAAGGATGGGATAAAAAATTATAAATGCGGAACGAAATGAAGCGGATGAGATGCGTCGCGGATGCTAGCGGAATATAAATTAAAACGCGGAAATAAGCTATAATGTAACTTAGTAACTATGAAGTAAGTTAAACTAAAGATTTAACGTAAACTAAATGCGACTAAAACTAAATGAAAATGTATATGAACCTTACTGATTGGGCAAAGGACAAAGTTTTGCCACTGGGCGCACGTAAGTACCGGTTTGCGTGCGCACACGCGCTACCCTGATAACACCATCGGAGCCAGGGTGGACCTCGTCTATGACAGCAAGAGGCCAATTAAGCGGTGAACAATTATCTGATTTTATAATAACAATCAAGCCTTTCCTAACTGGGTTGGATGGCGTGTTCCATTTTAAACGCGTTTGCAACTCTGAAAGATACTCCTTTCGCCACCGATTCCAGTAACTTTGAACAAGCTTGTCGAGTAATTGTTTGCGATGTAATAAATTAAGATTTGCATTTTCGCATGGAATGGAATGAAACGAAGTCAATGGACCTAACGTTAAAAAATGAGACGGGGTTAACGCGGTTGGTTCGGAAGGATCCGAACTCATGACAGTAAGTGGACGCGAATTGAGCACGCACTCAATTTGTGTAAGCAATGTATACATTTCTTCGTAGGTAAGCAACGTCTCGCCTACGACGCGTTTGAGATGAAGTTTGACACTACGTATGTTAGTCTCCCATACACCACCAAAATGAGGCGAATTAGGAGGGTTCATACTCCAATTGATGCCGTGAGATACAGCCTCTGCATTAAAAGATTCGCGAAACGATTTAGATTTAAGAAATTTATGTAATTCATCGAAATGCGTCTTGGCGCCAACAAAGTTGGTACCATTGTCAGAAAACAAATTTAAACATTCACCGCGGCGCGAAATGAAACGCTTAAAAGCCCGTAGAAATGACTCAGTGCTAAGATCGACAGCAAGCTCTAAATGCACTGCTCTCGTAACAAAACAAGTAAAGAGACAAATATATGCCTTTTCTTTACGTGCGCCTCTGTACCTACTTATAAGAATGTTATAAGGTCCGCCATAGTCAACGCCCGTATTCATGAAGGGCTTGGCTTCGTTTACTCGAGGAGCGGGTAGAGACGCCATGAATGGGTTTAACGAACGCGGGTTTGATTTAAAACATTTATTACAATTCCTAAATCGTTTTCGTACTATATTACGACCAGACATTATCCAAAATCTCTGTCGCAACAATGATAAAAGAAGATGCGGTCCAGGATGTAAAAACCTGTGATGATAACTATCTATAATCATTTCCGTAATGCGATGATTTTTAGGCAATAATATAGGATGTTTGGCGTTAAATGACAGTGAGGATTTATTTAAACGTCCTCCTACGCGGAGTAAACCATCTTTATGAACGAACGGCGCATATGGTAACAAAGATTTCGAGACTTTGCGGTGTGAATTGATTGCTGAAATGTCGTTCTTAAAGACATGCGATTGTAAACAACGAAGAATAGTTACTTCAGCAACCTTAAGGTGTTCAAACTGTAAAAAGTCAGAGCGCGGAAGTTTACGAGTGAATCTTAAAATATAAACAATGATACGAAGTAGTTTGTCCCACGAGGACACGCGTGACGCGAGTTGAAGAAGAAAATTTTCTTCAGCGACTACGGTTGCGGTGCAGACAATAAGAGATGGATTAATATTCTTATATTCATAAACTTTATCATTCGCGGTGTCATCAAATGTGAACCTATTGAGAGGCCACGACGCGGGGTTGTCACGAGCCCATTGCGGGCCATGCATCCATAGTGGATGAACTAATAGTTGCGCGGGAGATAAACCTCTAGAGATGCAGTCACTAGGGTTTTGTTTTCCATCAACATGGAAAAAATGACGCGGCGCGAGATACTCTTGTATCTTAGAAATACGATTGGCCACAAATGTGTCAAATCGGTGCGGAGACGAATGTGTCCAGTGTAAAGCCACGGACGAATCAGTAAAAGCAAACACGTCATCAACTGTACAACGTGCCGCTATTGAGTCGCGGATAAAATTAAGCAGCTGTGCCATGATCAACACAGCGCAGAGTTCTAGCCTGGCCAGCGAGACGGTACGTGTCGGAGCGACGCGACTCTTGGCCATGGCCAGCGTGACGCGGTTTGGTTCTCCTGGAACCACAACACAAATATAAACAACGGCTCCATAGGCTCTCTCACTTGCGTCAGAAAAACCAAGAAGAAAAACGCGGTGTGTATCAGATGTGATACCAAAAAATCGCGGTATTTGAAAATTATGTAAAAGTGGTAACTCATTTATAAAAGTTTTCCACGCGGTGCAAATATGTTCAGACGGCGAGTCGTCCCAACCGATATGGGCGAGCCATAAAGCTTGAATTAATAATTTCGCATATAAAACTACTGGAGCACAAAAACCGTTGAGATCCCATAGTTTAGCTACGGTAGACAACATGAGACGCTTTGTACACTCAGCCCGCGGGGTAAAATTAATAGCAATACGAAAAATATCTTCGCGGGGACACCAACTTAAGCCTAAGATTTTAAGTGAATCATCATTGTCAAACTGAACCTGGCTTGACAAGCGATTTTCAACCGGGATCGCGTTCAGGACCTCTGTCGAATTACTAACAAATTTAACTAAGTTAAATCCGCCGCATCTAAACAGTTCAATTAAATCCTGTGCCAGGCTAGCGCCATCTGCAGACGAATGAGTCGAAATACACAAATCGTCCATATATATGTAGTTTGATGCTATATCAGCAGCAAGCGGAAAATTCTGCTGCTGCTCAGAAGCGAGCTGTCGTACAGCGCGCATTGCGAGATAAGGACTGCAGCGCAGGCCAAAGCAAACGCGGTTAAAATTATATAATTTTACGTCGCTTTCATTCGCAAACCTATAAAGAATATTTAAGAAACGACGATCCGATTTGCGAACTATTAAATTTAAAAACATTTGTTTAATATCAGCGGTAAATGCAATTTTAAAAAGTCGAAAATTTAAAATAATAGCGGTGAGGTCTGTTTGTAAGTTAGGGCCTGAGTGTAAGCAATCGTTTAAAGACATTCCTGACGTTGTCTTGTGACTAGCGTCTAATACGACACGAAGTTTAGTAGTAAGTTTATCTGAGCGACAAACACCATGATGCGGTATAACGTAGTATGGATCCTCCACGTTCAATGGAGGCGCGGGTTCGATAATTCCATTTTTTAAATATTCGCGGAATATCGCGTCGTATTCCTCACGAAGAAGAGGGTTTAAATTAAATTTTCGCTCCAAAATGTTATAGCGACGACGCGCAGAAACTAGAGAATCCCCTAAGCAAGAAGGATCGCGGTTAAACGGTAACGCGGTAACGAAGCGACCAGTGCTATCGCGGGACGTAGTAGAAACAAAGAACTGTTCGCACTGGTGCTCAGCGGGAGATAAATGTTTTTTTAGACGGTACCTCCTGTAAAGACCAAAACCTCGTAACTAAATTTTCAATTGAATCTTCGGTCGAAGTGAAAAACGTATGCGTGGATGTAGAAGTCATAGGAAAATCAACTAAGTTTTCAAGCGAACCTAAAATAATGTATCCAAATGCGGTTTCAAATGCGTCCGGTTTCCCCGGGGGTCCGACCACCTTACCAGGGCGAAGGATCTCGGTAAAAACTTCAGAACCGAGAATCAAGTCTACTTGACCAGGTACGTAAAAGTCCGGGTCAGCGAGCGCAATATTATTTAAATAATCTATTTGTTTCGCGTCTATGTTTGTCGAAGGTAATTTATCTGAGATTTTATTTAAGACGAGCGGGTTAATACGAAGCGTGTAACGCGGATCGTAGTGAGAAGCTAAAGTCAGCTCTGTAAAAGTACCTATAGACTGCG